GTTAAATGACGTTTTAGCCCCCACTCCTAAACTTTGATTCGTTTTATCTAAGTATTGTTTTATTATGCGACAAAATAAAAAATACGTGTCTAATATTTTTTAATTACCTAACTTACGGACTAATTAGATTTTTAATTTTCATACTTTGTCATCGTCACCACCACCGATTTTTCCTTCAAACCACTTGTTAAGTGGTCAGTGAATAGAAGAACAGATTATTAGAGAAATTATTTGAAGGAGAAAGGAGTTTGGGATTGGAATGACGTCTGATAGGAGAGACTGGAAAAAAAGACAAGCATGCCATATTTGTGTTCATTTTGGCATAAAAAATAACCTATCAAATATCATCATAACCTAACATATCAATTTAATTAAATACCTTCACGCCTTTTATCCCCGAAGGGGTAGGCAGAGGTGTTACATTATGGCACTTGATACCACTTACAATGTACCACTTACTTTTCATTAATGATGTCATGACTCCCATGTAATAGGGGGTGAGGCTATTGCCATATACCAGGCACAATTGCACACTCCGTGACTACTACTGAGAAATATTTACAAAACCCAGTAATACTTTGCCTGACCCGGGAATCGAACCCGAGACCCTTTATTTAGCAGTTGCAGCCACTCGGCCAACCAGGCAGTCCTACAATACAACATACATAACGTCACGCCTGTCTCCCATGGGGGTAGGGAGAGACTATGGAACGCCAATTGCTACGATTCCTACATACTTAATTCGCTTCATCAACAGTCATCAATCTTGTCAGGCATGCTAGTTATAACCTATCATTATTATTACTTTAACTCGTCGAGTACCGGTTTTGTAGACACAATTATAGAACAATAGGTTGCGGTCACCGGTGACCGCTTGGTGTTTGACAGTTTAATGGGATACTAAACCAAAGCACTACAGATTTAATTAACACCCCAATTCTACTATAAACAACACACAACAACCCAACGCCCCTACTTAGTCATCTGACCGAAAAAAAAAAATATGTATGTTTGATACTTTTTTTATTAATTTGGATAGGTAATTACCACGAACATCATTTGCAGCTTACCACCTACCACATATATTTGTGCACTACCCAAAGGATGACTGGCAGAGAATGCTGTTAGCATTAAGTCTTCCTTATGCAATTGTATTGTATAAAACTTAAATAAAGAAATAAATAAAAAAAAAAACAAAACAGCGGCCATTTTATTTACCGGCACGTAGTATAAAGCGGTGTGACAAACTTTGGGCGACGCTGAAACACGGCCAAAGTGGAGCAGTTAGCCAACTTAAATTGGTCAAGTAAATACAACTTTTTAACTAGCGTCTACTTACTACTTCGTCTGATATATTAGGTACTTCTTGTTGGTGACTATTTTCGTGTGCTGTGTAACATAATATCACGCCTTTTCACCCCCGAAGTGGTAGGCAGAGGTGTACATTACGCCACTGTACAATGTAACACCCACTTTTCACTATTTATGTTATGAGTCTCATGTAATATTCCAGACTCCGTGCTACTATTGAGAATGTTTTAAAAACCCAGTATTACTTTGCTCGACCCGGTAATCGAACCCGAGACCCCTTGCCTGGCATTCGCACTTGCGACCACTCGGCCAACGAGGCAGTCTATTTTCGTGTGTTGTGTAAAAATATGGAGAAATTGGAGAAATTTATTTTAAGTTTAATGGGAATGAGCTATGAAGGAGCCGATGTCGACCGTTTGTAGAAGATTAATGTGGTCACTGTATACAACGCAAGGTGTTTGACAGTCTCACTTTATCTCTCTCAGGTGCG